TTTTTTCCTAACTCCCTGCATAGTAAATCTCATGGGGTTCGGGTTCTGGCGTGCAAAGCCAAGAAAGGGAGCGAAGCCTTCCCTTTGGACACGTTCCAGTGCAGACCCTCGTGCGGAGGGGCCGCCAGAGCCGGAGGGGAGGAGTGATTGTGATGGCCCTGGCCCTGTCGCCAGCTCCACCGTGGCATCCCCCACCCCGGCGGCTCGGCCTCCCACAGCTCCTTCCATGCCAGGACCAGAGTTAGGGAAGGCTTCGGACGTGTCTGACAGACTCAGTGGACGGGTCAACAGTCTGTGGTCTTGGGGAGGGAAGTGAGGACTTGGGGGGAAAAGAGGGTGAAAAGAAATCCAAGAAGCAGAACAACTCTTCAAACTGATGAGCACCGAGACAGGGCGGGAAGCGGGATGTGCCATCTCTGTCCCATAATCCATCTTCAATATGAAGATGTGTTGCTGCCTCGCCGCTCCAGGACACGGGACGAAAAGCTGGGCTCCCTCTCGGCACTAGTACCTCCGATCCAGGGAAGGGCGTCCCGTCCCGTCCCAGGCGACCGTCCGAGGCAGAGGAGCGCCGTGTGAAGGGGGAATCGGGAAGCCGGGCTGCACCGCAAACTGAACCTGGTTGGCAGGTTCCCTCGGTCCGTTCCAATGCAGAGTCCCCTGCGGTCAAACCTGCACCGGGAGCGTCTGGTTCATCTGCAGCCTCATGTCCTGAATGCTGCTCAGTATCTTCTTCTGGTGCCCTGCTAGCGTCACCCCTATCCTCAGCAGGTCTCTGCAAGGAGAAAGGGAAGACTCAGCCCCCTGCCAGAAGCAATACCAGCACGTGGCCCTGCCACATCTAGCCGCTGCCAAGGGACCCATCTTCATCACAGCCCTCTGCCAAGCTCCCGTGTCCCTCTAACACCACAGGGGACTGGATGCTGAATCCCAGACTTTAACCCACTTGGGAAAACCCCATGCACAGCTCGGCTCTCTGGATGGGAGAAGCTGGCTGCCAGATAGGTGAGGGACGATACGCTGCGGTCCCAGGCCCTCTCCCTCCTCTGCAAGCAGGGACTTACTCTGCAGTCATCTGTGCCACCAGGTCAAAGGAGGCAAAGCCGGCATTGACGAAGTTCTCCTTGTACCGTCCCATTTTGATGGCATCCAGCCAGTCTCCCACGGTGGTGAAGGTGGTGTAATCCGGGACAGTGCGGTCCAGAAGCGGCTGGGAGATGCTGAAGGGCAAGAGAGCCACAGGTCACAGGGAGCAGGGGACAGAGAGGCGTAACTGGAAGTGGGGGAGATTTCTTATCCCTGCCCTCCCACGTCTCTTGTCCCAAACACCCCAGTGTTTCCCGGGCTTGTGGGGAGTCCTGGCTGGAGGCGGGGTTGCCACTGACCCAGACTGGACACTGGCGATGACTTTCAGGCTGGCAGCGTTGCGGATGAGCTTGTCCAGCGTGTTGACGATCTGTGCAAACTTGGGCCGCAGGTTGCGGTCCCGCACCCAGCAGTCCAGCATCAGCTGGTGCAGTGCTGTGGGGCAGTCCATGGGGGGTGGCAGGCGGTAATCCTGCTCCACTGCATTGATCACCTGTGGAGAGAAGCACAGAGAGACAGGCTGTGAGCCACCTGGGCTCCCAGGGGCAGCCCACAGCTCCCCACTCCCCTGGGAGCACTTACGTCCTGGTTGGACATGTCCCAGTAAGGTCGCTCCCCGTAGGACATCACTTCCCACATGACGATGCCGTAGCTCCACACATCGCTGGCTGAAGTGAATTTGCGGTAGGCAATGGCCTCAGGAGCCGTCCATCTGATCGGGATCTTGCCCCCCTGCACGGATACACAGCTCCATTATGTACCATATACCTCAGGTGTCTCCCCCCACCCCTAGACTGGTGGATCCCCCAGGAGTGTCCCATACCAGGGAGCTGGTGTAGGTGGGGTCGGCCGGGTCATCCTCCAGAAAGCGCGAGAGCCCGAAGTCAGACACTTTGCAGACCAAGTTGCTGTTGACCAGGATGTTGCGAGCAGCCAGATCCCGGTGCACGTAGTTCATCTCTGAAAGGTACTTCATGCCAGCAGCAATGCCTCGCAGCATCCCCACCAGCTGGATGACTGTGAACTGCCCGTCGTTCAGCTGCCAGAGGAAAGATCAGAGGGGTTTGCAACACCCCAAATGGATTGGGGAAGGATCCCGATGGGCTACCAGCACCTTCCTCCTCCCTAGAGCCACCCCTCATCTCCCACCCCGCGTTGTCTATGTACAACCTAGCCCTGGGGATGCCAGCACAACAGCGCAGACGGATGGAGAAGGAGAGCTCAGAGCTGTTGTCCTCCGTGTGCTGCAGCCCCTGCCCCAGGAGGCGATGGATGCTCACCCGGAGGAAGGAGTCGAGCGCACAGTTCTCCATGAACTCCGTGATGATCATGACGGGGCGGCTCTTGGTCACCACACCCTCCAGGTGGATGATGTTGGGGTGGTCGAACTGGCCCATGATGCTAGCCTCGCTCAGGAAGTCCCGCCGCTGCCGCTCCGTGTACCCCACCTTCAGCGTCTTGATGGCCACGAAGATCTCACGGCGGCCGGGCAGCTTCAGGCGCCCGCGGCACACCTCGCCGAACTCCCCTGCGGTGGGGAAGGGGAGAAGGGGGTGAGCCACATGGCAGGTTGAGTGGCAGCGGTTGCAGCAGCTGCTCTGCCCAGCCCTGGGACCTACCTGCTCCAATGGGACCTACCTGCTCCAATGACCTCCTCGATTTTGACGCAGGAGATGTCAATCTCTTTGGCGAATTCCCGGACGGCTTCGTTGGGGTCCTCATAGGTGAAGGGGTCAATGTAGACCTTCACCCCAGGGGTGACTGCAAGGGCAGAGGAGTCATCATCAGGAGGGACACAACATGGGTGACAGATGCTGAGCCAGCTTGGCCGGCTGTCAGCCCGTCCCTCGTGGTCCCTGGCTAGCAGAGGCTTCCCCCTCGCTTGTGCACGGGGCAGGAATTGGGAGAGGAGAGGCAGAGCCCATTTGCTGGGCTCTCACACTCACCGTATTGCTGCAGCTTCTCCGTGTACTCGGGGTCCGTGCTGTTGCGTTGCTTCCTGCCCAAAGGAGACGAGAGGAGGTGTTCAGTAACCATCCCTTTCCTGATGGGGCAAAGACATTCACTGCCAGCTTCCAAATCCCAGCACAGACCTATGCCAGAGAGCTTCCCCCCAGCAGCTGGCGAGCAGAGCCATCCTCCGCCCGTGGTGCACTGGGAGAAGATGGCCCAGTTGTGCTGAGAGAGGATGGCAGGAGCCTGGCAGAGACCCAGCTGGTGCTGGGGGGGGCAGAGATGCACAGTCTTCCCACAGGACCTGTGCTCTGGTACCCACGTGTGGCAGGGCCAGTCCTTCGCTCTCAGACTGGAGCTGCCAGAGCTCTGCCCACAGGCAGCAGGGAAAGCTCTGGGGCAGACATGAGTGACCCCCAAACCCAGCTCTGAACCCCTCCTCCCTGCAAAGCCAGTACCTGAAGCAGACGATAGCGATGATCACCACAACGATGACGAACAGCAGCCCCGCAGTGGCTGAACCCACAATCAGAGGCAGCTCCTGGAAAGTCTTGCTGGTGGAACCTGATGGAGAGAGAGGGAGGAATCAAAGTCAGGCTGGGGAAGGAGCATGCACAGGAGGGCTGGGGGACAGAGGCAGCCCAGTCCTGGTACCCACCATCTTCTGCAGTTGTCTGAAATTCCGTGGGGAGGCTGTAGCGGCCGTATCCAGCCACCAAAAAAAAGCACCATGTACCGAGCATTGGCCTTCAGCCCGTCCAGCCGCACGGAGTTCTTCTGGCTGGTGACTGTGTTGGCGATGCCATCGCTCTGGCCTTGCTGTAGGGGAGACACGCAGGCATCACCTCTGTGAGGCAATCCCCCCTTTGCTGGCTCCCGCATCCCCCAGGCACTATCTCTGCAGGGACCCCGTTTGCCATGGTGCTGACAGCCAGCCCAAAGGGCTGGAGGAGGGAAAAGGCTACTCTGCCTCCTGCGTTACCTTCTCCGAGTACTTGATCTCATAGTCCAGAATGATGCCATTGGGTCTCTCCGGGGGAGTCCACGACAGTGTCATGCTGTTCCCGGTGCTGCTGTGCAGGTGCATCGTGGGCACGGCAGACGGGGCTAGGAAAGAGGGCAGGGGAGGAGTGAGTCACCTGTGCCAGGGTCCCCACTACACTGTCCTGCATCGGCACAGGGACACTCTGCCTGGGACTGCTCGGATAACCCCAGTGGAAAGGCATGGAAAAGCTCGGAGACTGGCCTCCCACAAGTCTCTGTAGGGAGATGTGACCTCAACATCTTGTAGCCAAGGTGATAAGGGACTGAGGGGACCTTCGGAAATAGCACCGAGGTAATGCTTCACCCCATGCCTAGCTGCAAACTGGTCCAGGAAAGGGCCCTGCCAGCCCAAACCAGGGCTCCCTCCCCTCCTCCACTCACCAGGAGCTCCCTGCTCCACCCCACCGACGAGACCCGTGAAATCAGATCAGAGCATGGTGGCTGGAGATTACCAGCACGCTGGAGCCGGGCCAGAGCGGGAGGAAGGAGGCAACGGCTAAGCACTCAGCTGTCTGTGAAGGTTTGGGCTGGTGCTGAGCCTTCCCAGGCCCACAGGGGAGAAATCTCATTTCCTTCCTCCTCCCTTCAGAGCAGGCACAACATCTCTGGGGTAGGTCTAGGAGATCCAGAGCTCTCCGGAGCATCTGCCAACCTGCCCTTCTCCGCTTGCATGCGTTCTGATCTCATCTCCCCCAGGGACAGCGTTAAACGGAGAGAAGAATTTACCCAGGGGATTAGATGCAGGCGCGGAGAGCCAGTAAGGCGGCAGCACAAAGGACTGCAGCCTCCAAGGCTGTCAGCGAGAAATCCCCGCGCCGCTCTGCGGCACAGAGCCAGCCCCTGCTCTCTGGCAGCTCTACTGACCTGCCTGGTTGGTGGTGATGTTGACAGAGGCGAAATGAGGAGGGTAGGGGCTCTTGTTGGAGATGCCGTTCACAGCCTGGATCTCGAAGGTGTACTGGGTGTGGGCCATCAGGTTGCTGATGTAGATGCGACGCTCAGTGAGGCCGAGCTGGCGCGGCACGAACTCCACGTTGTCGTCGCAGCGGGTGCACAGGCGCCGCTCCACGCTGCACTTCTTGCAGATGACGTTGTAGAGCAGGTCATCCCGCCCGCCCGTGTCCTGCGGCTCGCTCCACTCCAGCACCAGCGACGTCTCGTTGACGTTGGAGATGACGTTGCGGGGGGCGGAGGGGATGCCTGCGGGAGGAATGTGGGGGTCAGGCTTGGCGTGCCCCTGTGCCCAGCTCACCTCCATCCTGGGCACAGCACACTGCCCTTGTCCCAGGTGCAGACCCTTGCTGCCTCCACAGCTCCCCCCGCCTCCCCTCCTCGCCCAGGACAGGACTCACTGGTGCAGGCGCTGTCTGCGGGATCTGTATCTGCCCGGAAAAAGCCGTTTCGGCATGTGCAGACTGTTGCTGCTCCGGAGGTGGTCCGGCTGTTGGGAGGACAGGGAGAGCAGGGACCTTCCCCCTGCTTGGACTTGAAGGTTCCTGGGCCACACGCTGGAAGAAGAGAAAACAAACCCCAGTTACTAAGTGCACCCAAAAAACATACACTGTTCCCCTCACGGCTGGGCAGAGCCCTTCCTCACTCCTTGCCAAATCTCCCATCCCTGGATCGAGGAGCACAGGTCACTTTTCTGCTGCCATCAGCCGTGTCCAGGGATGCGGTGCCCCAGGCTGGGCAGGGCAGGTGAGAGTGTGGTGCCAGCAGAGGGTATGGGCACTGCCAGCGCTCGCATCGCTCTGCCCAGGAGACACTGTGCTCCGGCGGCAGACCTGGGGCAGGGAAGAGCCGGTCACCAGCAGCTGTATGGGGATCAGGTCCCCATCTTGCTCCTTCACTGAACTTCCCAAGGGCTTTACCACACATTGGTTCCCCCTTTCCCAGCTGGTCTCCATGCCCAGCACCTTCCATAGGGTCAGCGATCCATTCTCCAGGGAAATAAAGCTGGGAAGGAACAGACCCCTCAGCTTCGCCTGCAGCAGCCCCCCACAAGAGGCCACTCAGCCCCAAACCTTCCGCCTCGGGCTCTTCAGCCACTTCTCAGCCTCGGGGCCATGGCACCTCCTGAGACCGGCTCAAGTGGAGCGCTGAGCAAGATTAAAACATTCCTGCAGGTCCTTGGCTAAAGAGCAGCTCCAGCATGGCTGTGCCACCTCCTACCCCCGCTTCCGACCAGGGTCCTTCAAGGAGCCACAAAGTCCCAGGATCCGGCCGGGCTGGCACCGCGGGGTATTCAGTCCCAACGAGGGGCATATGAGAGGATTAACCGCACTTGAGCCGAGGGACAGAGCGGCCTTGGGAACCCAACCCACACCTCGAAATAGCCTGATTTATCGCCGTGCTGCCCCAAGAAAGCGGGTCCTGTGCTCTGTGTTTATACCCGGCCAAAGCAGCGAGAGACCCGCCGGCGCTGGCTCTGCTTTGGCATCGCCCCGTTTGCCATGGCCGGGGCGGTATCGGCACTGACAGCCCTGGAGGAGGGCACATCCTCCTGGCTCTGCTGGGGTCAGGGCAGCTCCCGAGGGTATGTAACCCTCCTGGCAGCCCTGTCCCACACCTCCCACGCCTGTCACATGTCACCCTGTAAACAGGAGGAGGTTTCTCGGTGCTTCACAGGGCTGTGTCAGGTGGAAGTTTCCTGCTATGAGGCATCTCCCGACACCCTCTGTGGAAAAGCAGCCCCACGCATGGGGCGTGGAGTGCTGCTGAGTCACACGCTGCCGGG